ACTTCATAATTGCTGTTTATAGACATCCTTAGAAAAGCTTAATTTTAATGAACAGAAAAGGAAACAACAGAATCTCAGCAATATCTACTATATATAAAGGAATGTTTGCAAAATGCTTATGAAACTTAAATTGACTATTTTCTTAAGTATTACAAACAAGTATTCCCACTCCACTTGCTTATTAATTTTTACAATCTTCTAAAACAAAAGAAAGAAAAAAAGGAAGTAAGGAGGGCAGGCAAGCACACATTACCTGACTACTGGAATTAATGATATCCTATTGTATAGACTTTAAAAATAAACATACAGTTCAAAAAGACTTGCTATCAAACAATGAAACAAATATGACAAAAAAGTTATAATATTTATAATAATATAAAGAAAGCCCATAACAAATATAAAACATAAAACCCTAATAAGTACTAAAGAATAACAATTCACTAAAAATACAATTTGCTCATAAACATGAAAAAAATGAACCCTATTAAAGGAATGCAAACTGAAACAACGAATATTACTTCAAAATATCCAATGAGCAGAGAAAGAATAACATTTAATGCTGCATCCCCTTAGGATGTAAAATTCCTCCTGTTTTGGCCAAACATTTGTGTTTTAAAACAAAATAAATAATGCTTACAAGGGTGTGATGAGATAAAAACACCCCAACACTGACTGGGGACAATGGCAGTCAGTACAATCTTTAGACAATTTGTGAAGAGTAACAGGAGATAGATTTTCGTGGCTTTCAAGTTCATACGCTGTGATCATTAATTCTACTACTATGAATATAAATTTTTTAAAATGAGAGAGGCAGATAAAGGCTTACAAATGGTATTTATCCCAGCTATTTATAATGCCCCCTAAAACTGGAAACAACTACAATGCCAAACATTAAGGAAATGGTTCATTATAACAGTAAATATTATGCAGCCATTAAAAATGATCTTAAATTACTACTCAGGAGGAGAAATGTAGAGGATAGATGTTACGCAAAAAAAGCAGGATCTACAATTTTAATTCAGTCTTAGCTAAAACTGTTTAAAAGAAGGCAGAGGTTTTATACTCTGCTAATTTGTCAAATTCATTTATTAGTTCTAATAGGCTTTGTTGTTGTCAAGTCTTTACGGTTTTCTACATATAAGATCTTATCAGACATCATTTTAATTCTTTCCAATTTAACTGCTTTAAATGTCTTTTTCTGATCTAATTTCTGGACTATGACTTCAAATACTATGTTGAATGGACATGACAAAAGCAGGGATTCCTTGTCTTATTCCTGATCTTAGAGAAAAAACTTTCAGTCCTTCACCATTGACTAGGATATTACCTAAGTAACATGATATGAAATCAACACATAAAAATCAGTTTGCTTTCTTTCCTTTTTTTTTTGAGGCAAGGTCTTGGTTTGTCACCCAGGCTGGAGTATACTGGTGTAAAGAGCTCACTGCAGCCTTGAACTCCTGGGCTCAAGGGATCCTCCCACCTCAGCCTCCCAAGTAGCTAGGGCTACAGGCTCATGCCCGGCTAGTTTCTATATGACTATAATGAATAATCTGAAAATGAAATAAAAAATTCCATTTGCAAGAGCATCAAAAAATTACCTAGGAGGTAAAATACACACTGAAACTACAAAACACAACTGAACAAAATTAAAGAAAATATAAAGAAGTAAAAAGGCACCCCTGTCCAAGGACTAGAAGACTTAATATTTGTACATGTGTGTGTGTAGTTTTAGAGACAAGATCTCACTCTGTTACCCAGGCTTGAGAGCAGTGACACAAATGGCTCACTGCAGCCATCAACTCCTGGGCTTATGCGATCCTTCCACCTTAGCCTCTCAAGTAGCTAAGCCTACAGGCATGAGTCACCACACTCGACTTATTTTATTTTATTTTTTTGCGGAGAAGAGGTCTTGCTGCGTTGTTCAGCCTGGTCTTGAGCTCCCGGCCTCAAGCAATCCTCTCGCCTTTGATTCCCAAAGAGCTGGGATTATAGGTGTAAGCCACAGCATCCAGCCCTTAATATTAAGGTGTCTACTACCAAAATCCATCTACAGATTCAGGGCAATCCCTATCAAAATCCAAGTGACTTTTTTCTGGAGAAAAAGAAAACTCCCTCCTAAAGTTCATAGGCAATCCCAAGGAATCCTCAACAGCCAAAACTGTCCTGAAAAATAGTAAAGTCGATGGAAAAACATTTCCTGAATTCCCAACATACTACAAAGCAACAATAATCAACACAGTACTGGTATCGCAATAAGAACAGACATATAGACCAATGGAATGGAACAGAAAGCCTAGAAACAAACCCTTGCATATAGAGTCAAAATATTTTCTATAACGGTGGCAAAGACCATTCATTGGGGCAAAGGCAGTCTTTCAACAAATGAAAACAGACAAGATGGGCTTCATCAAAATTTAAAAGTTTTGTGCAGCAAAGGCCATTGCTAACAGAGTAAAAAGGCAACCTGTAAAATGAGAGAAAATGTTACCGAATCACGTATCTAATAAGGGATTAATATCAAGAATACACAGAGAAATCCTAAAACTCAACAACAACAACAATAACAACAACAGGATCCAATTCAAAAGCAGGCAAATAATTTGAATAGATATTTCTCAAAAGACGTACAAATGGCTGATAAACATGCGAGAAGATGCTCAACATTAAGCTTTAGAGAAATACAAAACGAAACCACACTACAATGAGATGCCATTTCATACCTACTGAAAAGATAAATACGAAAAAAAAAAAAAAAAAAAAGCAAGTAAGCCGGCGCGGTGGCTCATGCCTGTAATCCCAGCACATTGGGAGGCCAAGGCAGGCGGATCATGAGGTCAAAATATGGAGACCATCCTGGCCAACATGGTGAAAAAAAATGTATTGAAATATTTAACAGGTAATTCTTCTTGGTTCGTTAATCAGTAAATCATTGTGGGTTGCAGTGAGCCAAGATCATGCCACTGCACTCCAGCCTGGGCAACAAAGCGAGACTCCATCTCAAAAAAAAAATTTTTCTTTTTTAGCTAGGCATGGTGGCACACATCTGAAGTCCTAGCTACTTGGAAGGCCAAGGTGGGAGGATTTTTTTTGAGCCCTGAAGTTCAGGGCTGCAGTGAGCTGTGATCACACCACTGCATTCCAACCTGGGGGAAAAAGTGAGACCTTGTCCAAATAAATAA